GCGGTTACGCGCCAATTCAAATTTTTGACATACTGAAAAATTTGAATATAACCAAAAGATTTATCGTACCATCAAACGATACAATGAAGACTCTAGTGTAGATGACAGGTCAAAAAGTGGTCGCCCTCGGTCTGTTAGGACTCCAGCAGTGATAAAAGCTGTGAAGGCGCGAATTCAAAGAAATCCCAAACGTAAGCAGAAACTGTTGGCCCTTCAGATGGGATTAAGCAGAACCACGGTGAAAAGGCTGTTAAATGAAGACTTAGGGCTTCGGGCATATCAAAGAAAAACAGGACATCGTTTGAATGCTCGTCTAATGGACCTGAGACTGAAGAGAAGCCGCGCTTTGTTGAAGCGGTACGCGGGAAAAAAATATCGGGAAATTCTTTTTTCGGATGAAAAAATTTTTACAGTAGAAGAGAGCTACAACAAACAAAATGATAAGGTGTACGCACAGAGTAGTGAAGAAGCGAGCAACCGTATTCCGCGTGTCCAACGAGGTCATTTTCCATCCTCGCTCATGGTATGGTTGGGAGTTTCTTATTGGGGCTTGACAGAGATACATTTTTGTGAGAAAGGTGTAAAAACGAATGCAGTTGTGTATCAAAATACAGTCCTGACGAACCTTGTGGAACCTGTTTCTCATACCATGTTCAATAACAGGCACTGGGTATTCCAACAAGATTCGGCGCCAGCTCATAGAGCGAAGAGCACACAAGACTGGCTGGCGGCGCGTGAAATCGACTTCATCCGGAACGAAGACTGGCCCTCCTCCAGTCCAGATTTGAATCCGTTAGATTACAAGATATGACAACACTTGGAGGAAAAGGCGTGCTCAAAGCCTCATCCCAATTTGGAGTCACTCAAGACATCCTTGATTAAGGCAGCTGCCGATATTGACATGGACCTCGTTCGTGCTGCGATAGACGACTAGCCGCGCAGATTGAAAGCCTGTATTCAAAATCACGGAGGTCATTTTGAATAAACTTTAGTGTCATAAGAATAATCTATGTTTTGTTAAGTTCATTTTGGTATATAAATGGTTACATAATGAATAAACTTGTTTCAATTATTTTATATTAAACATGTGACAGAATTTATGACCTGACTAGGTATATAGACATACTTATGCAAGGAACGAAATATGTAAATATCCTAAATTCCATGTTATGTCATACAAATACGAATTGGTATAACTAATTTAAATGTAACTTGCTGAAATACGATATCCCAAAGGAGCTTTTAACAATACATGGATCCAATTATACGGCTCCGTAGTGCAGTGGCTTAGCATTGAGTTACGGCACTAAGAGCCGCACGTTCGAATCCCGCACGGAACAGGTATTTGTATGACCTACAAGTAAATTGTTCCGGGTCTGGAACTCACACACACACACACACACACGCGCGCGCGCGCGCGCACACACACGCACACACACAAACACACGCACGCGCACACACAACACACGCACGCACACAGCCACACACACACACAATTTGCAAATTATTTTTTTAATTAAAATGTTTAAGTTATGTTTAAGTTTTTTGAAAAAAGTAATTTCTTTACTTTTGAATACTGACTCTGGTAACGCACTTAACGGGAACCACAGGGTTTTTGTTACATGTTGAATACAGCAAAGGCCGTGCGAACACTACTCTATGATAGCGGTGTATGTGAATACATGACCCCATTACGCCCTGAGGGTATCGTAAGAAGAAACTATTGAAAATGCCAGAAAAATCTTATGGCTTTTGATGGGCGACGGTATAACCATCTCGATTGTCAGATGAAAAAAAAATACAAAATAAATTAAAAAAATGTGTAAAATAGGTACCTGAGGCGCGGCGTACAGTAACATCGAAGGTGTGAGATATTTGACTCGGGGGGGGGGGGGGGGGGGGCATAAAATAGCGCGAGATCCGACCATCAACGTCGTTAGCACAAAATGAAACTGAGAATAATTCGACAAACGCATCTGTCAAAGCCCTGTGGTGTTTGTGTTAGCCTTGAAATATTTCCGATTCCATTAAATTTTCTACGGGGTAAAATATAAAATAATGATTCACTATTAACACGTTGATAGCAATTTATGAACGAAATATCTGTTGACATATGTCTAGAAATTATTAAAACCAATTTTTATTCATTTATTTAAATTTATATTGGGTAAACATTATATTATACTTATTTATATTGAATATATAAGATATTATTGATATTGGTGTCATTTTAAAGGGAATATCATATACTATTATAATATAAAATAATTGTCTCCAGTAAGTATTACACTTTTCTTGTAAAACTCGAAATAAAAAATAAATACTTTTTTTTTTGATATTCTCATTTTTAAGCTTTATTTTCAGGCTTCGTTTGTCACCCTTATCCTATAAAAAAAGATGCTATATTTTTAATTTGACTAATTTTCTTTTAACAAAATTAAATCTTCTTTTGAGATTTTTTTTTTTATTTGAATGTAGCTATAGTAGTTTATCAGTGGTAATCGTTTTTGTTAAGACTGTCCCGCGCGGTCGTAAAAAAAATAGTGACATTTAATGCGCGGACAGGTCAGGCGTGAATCACTCGCGCGGGGTGGACGGTTAAGTGGTTAGTCTTCCTGGGGTGACAAGGTATTTGCATTATAATTTTTTCAGATGTTGTCTGGGCCACAGTATCCACTTATCACCGGGTAGACTACTCGTTTGTCATCCTTATTCTATATACAAATTCAATCCATCTGCCAAAAGGCGATTACAAGTAAGTCGTCCCTACTACTATCGGGGAGGCTGTTGTCCAGCATAGGGCTGTTGATGGGATGATTAGAGGGATGAGATTACACCATCTATCTAAAGAAAATATGTAGCAAAGCACTTTTCTAATAAGTCAATTTAGTTTTTTTTATAGAATTAGGGTGACAAAGGAGCACACATTCCACCTGATGGTAAGGCCCATAGACATCTACATCTTCGTTTGCGAATTAAAATGCAGATGCGTTGCCAGCCGTGAGGACTAAGATAGAATGCCTCTTTTCCAGTAAAATAGGTCTCCAGTTCTCTACACTCACCATACGAAACACAGCAGCATTAAGCTGCTATTTCAAGCTGATATTCTGTGAGAGCGTGGCCCTTTCCCGGTCGAGCCGACCCATTCGTGCTACAACTATACTATTAATATAGCTGCAGCATGGCTCAATCACGTAGTAAGTTGTAACTACGATCTATTGAAATATTGTACTTTTTGAGGTCTCAGAACTAAACAAAATACATGTGTGAAGTTCACGCGCAGTAGAAGTCAAACCTTCAGAAAATCTTAGTGAAAATGAGTGCAGAGTAGCAGGAGTAGGATAATTGTGGAGTTTATGTAATTAAAATATAAATAAATTTATAATAAACATTATACTGTCTTCTATCTCATTCTCTCGCATACTAAGTGCTATAAAGTTATTTGTTTGTCTCTTTTTATTGTCGCTTCTTCGTTTCATCCAATTTCAAATCACATTGATTCTATAGAGGTTCTCAATTCAAAATACTTTCTTTATTTATAAAGAAAGTACTTTAGTTGTGTGGAAATACCAGTAAATGGCGGCGTATAGTTTCTAGTAGATAAAGGACTTATTTGTATGTTTTTAAATAAAATAACAGACGTGTTTCTTTACTGCTGGCCGTATGAGGAAGCTCAAAGTTACTCAGCGACCTATGGAGACGGTTACGCTTGGTTTTTTAGAGAGTTTTTTAATTATAGACTTCATAATGAAAACATCCGCAGTAAAACTAGAGTAACCGACATAGTCAAGGGCTCGAAGAACCGATAACCGATGCGCAGTAAAGGTTCTCGAGTGGCAATCTCGGACCGGTAAGCAGTGTAGGACAGCCCCCCACTTGACAGAGTAACGACGTGGTGAGAGATGTAGGAACTTGATGGATGCGTTTGGAAATGGCTCTTGATCGTGCTTTGTGTCGTTCCTTGGGGAAGGTCTTTGTTCAGCGGTGGTTGAAATAATACAAGTCTTATTTAACTTAAAAACTTAAAACCGACCAAGTTTTGTGAGACTACGAAAAGTGACATTAAATTTACTTACTCAATTTTTGGGCAACTATTTATAATTACAAAAAAAACATTATTCTACTCCATCGTCCCTTTGTAAATAGATGTCAAAGTACGTATCGCTAAAATGTTGCTTGTGCAAATATTCGAGTGTTATATTTTTATGTATTATCCGGTTATTTAGTATTTAATTAATAAAGAAATTAATAAGAAATATGATTTGAAAACAACTTACATATTACTGCTATCATCATTTTTAACTAGTAACTTTCGTTCGTGAGGTGCTAAGGGTCAGAAAGCTTTTTTGTGTTGGCTACTATTTTAAAAAACACGGTGAAATTATTTGTGATCTGTCAAGTTTGCAAAGACGTAGAAAAGATATTGTGTGTAAACAAATTCATAGTTCCCGAACCGCTTTTTCTCAACGTTTTTATAGCTTTTTGGTAAGATTTGTTTGTAATAAAATTAGTAGAAACCTTACCATTGTTCATTAATAAATATAAATTTACTCACTCACACACATTTTCTTATGTTTGCAGTGACAGTTAAAGGTTGATTACTACGTTATTCTATACAAATTCTGTATCGGATGGTTATCATCTGAATTTTTTTTCATAATTCACAGATTGATCTTTGCTTTCTTCTTTTCTACCGACTTCAAAAAGGAGACGGTACTCAATTCGACTGTATATTTTTTTATGTGTGTTACCTCATCTTTTTACTGGGTCAACCGATTTCGATGTTTTTTTATTATTTGAAACCTGGTGCTTCACATGTGGTTCCATATAAATTTGATCAAGGTGTGACCATTACTTTTTGAGTTAATTATTATAATGATATATAATAATAATTAAATTATTAAGAATAAATTTATATTGAAGTCGGTTGTACAAAATTTTTAATTTTAAATTATATTGATTTATATTGAATAATTTTAACATTAACTATTTGTCCTTAGATGTCCAGACGGCGTGCAACATTTCAAAGTGCTACGTGACGCGTCAAGCAAATTTTTTCTATGGGTGGTGAAGTTCAACTCGCTGAATGAACTCGTGGACTACCATCGCACAGCGTCAGTCAGTCGCTTACAAGACGTCAAATTAAGAGATGTGGTCCCTGAGGAGGTAATAATGACATTTATAAAAAAAATAGTGTTTTGAATTGCAGAGTCCAAAACAGTGGTGAGGTTGATGTCCACCTATGAACTTGACAATAGTAATAAGTACCTATGAGCTATGAGGGTAGTCTCGTATGTAGTTAATAAAAAACTTAAAGATATTGGATTTATTATCAATTTGAACTTCAAAATTTCACATGCATCACATGCAAATTTTTACCAAACTCGGCAATATTTTAATTGTTTCATGTATTTCCAACAAAAGTGAAAGTGTAATTTGCCATCTTTAACAAAAAGTGATATATTTCCGCTTGTGGTGTCATTTCTAACAAAAATTAACTTTTAACGAAAATTAAAAAATGTTTTGTAAAATTTGTAAACTAGCAGCTTAACGCTGTTGTGTTTCGTATGGTGAGTGTAGAGAACCGGAGAACCATTTTACTGGAAACGAGGCGTTCCATCTTAGTCCTCACGGGTGACAACGCATCTGTATTTTGATTCGTAACCAAGGATAGATGTCGATGTCTATGGGTCACAACAACCACTTACCATCAGGTAGTCTGTGTTTGTTTGTCACCCTTATCCTATAAAAAAAATAGTTAAAAACGATAAAGTGGTTATTATGTTTTGTAAATTATTGCAATGTAACAAAATGTATATTATGATAAAAGAGCATTTAAACATTAAATTCGTAATGTGTATACTTGTATTAAGTATGCACATGAGCTCCTTTCTTTTCGATAGGTATGATTCGCCGCAATCGCCACACTTGGCGGACGGATTTGCGATGTCAGTCCAGTTGATTAGTATAGCAGCATCATCATCATCATCATCATCATCATTACAGCCAAGGAATGCCACAAAGCACGGGCCTGAGCCACCTGCATCCATTGCATGTCTTACCAGGTCGTCACTCCATCTAGTGGGGGGTCGCCCTACACTTCGCCTACCGGTACGAGGCTGCCACTCGAGAACCTTTCTTCCCCATCGGTTGTCGGTTCTTCGAGTTATATGGACGACCCACTGCCACTTCAGCTTACTAATCCGTTGGGCTATGTCGGTTACTCTGGTTCTACTGCGGATATCCTCATTTCTAAGTTTATCACGCAGAGAAACCACGAGCATAGCCCTCTCCATAGCCCTCTCCATAGCTCGCTGAGCGACCTTGAGCTTCTTCATACGGCCAGCAGTGAAGGACCACGTCTTAGATCCGTAAGTCACTACTGGCAACACGCACTGGTTGTACAATTTCGTTTTCAGGTTTTGAAGTATGTCTAACGAGATGTATCGTAGTTTCCCGAACGCTGCCCATCCGAGTTGAATCTGTCGATTGACCTCTCTCTTTCTCATAGTCCACATACGCAAGGCAAAGTGGCAGATTATACTCCTCTGTCTTCTGTACAATCTGCCGCAGGGTATGTATGTGGTCTATGATACTAAAGCCCTTTCGGAAACCGGCTTGTTCGGGAGGCTGGAAGTCGTCAAGTCTGCGTGCGAGACAATTCGTAATGACTCTCGAAAACAGCACGTAGACGCGGCTCAGAAGGGAAATCTGTTTGTATTTCTTCAAGAGAGCGTCGCTTTTCTTGAATAACAAGACCACCGCACTTCTGCTCCACGCCTCCGGAGTAGTGCAACCATGAAGGACGGAATTAAAGAGCTTCTGAAGGACTTCAAGTACCGGTTTTGGACCCGCTTTCAAAAGCTCCGCTGTAATTTCATCCTCGCCCGGGGACTTTCCGTTTTAAGTTGCTGGAGAGCCATTCTAATCTCGCTTAGACTGACGTCCGGGATATCTTCGGAATAGTGTCAGATAAGACTCGCTCTTGGATCGTTACTTACACTTACGTGTGGTTCCAACGATGACGCGTACAGCTGCCTATAGAACCTCTCAATCTCACTAATAATCTCAGGTGTCCCAGAAACGATGCTGCCACACTCAGTCTTCAGCTTTGACAGTTGGCTCTTTCTGGCAGACAGATCTCTGGCAAAGATTTTGGAGCCTTGGTTCCGCTCGATCGCTTCTTCAATACAAGCTGTATTGAAGTCCTGCCGCATGAATTTGGAGATCTGTCTGTACACTTGCCTTTATGCTGTCAAATCTGTTGAAGAATGTAGCTTCATCTCCCGTCTAACAGCCATGAGATTAAAAGTGTGATCGGAGAGTTTTTGTGTTCTTCTGTGGCGGGTCTTGCAGAACTTAGCTTCGACCGCATGGACAGTTTCCACGAGCTTGTCATTCATATCGTCCACTTCATTGCAGTCTTCTGGGCACTGAAAACGGTTTTGTAACTCGAGCTGAAAGGTTTCGGGACTTTGGAACAGAGCGCGTGAAGGACAGAGCGTTGACTTCATTAGACGAGACCTCTCCAACTTAACGTTTAGGTTTAGTGTGCCTCTAACAATTCGGTGATTACTACCAGTTTTCATCCTCGCGATCACGGAGACATCACTGAACAGTTGTCGTCTGGTCGTCATAATGAAGTCATTTTTGTTGAACCGTCGTGGCTCGACCAGGTCCACTTCCTGTGGGGCCGCTTCTGGAAGAAAGAGTTCATCATAAAGAGTCCCTCTTTCTCCATGAAGTGGGCCAGCTGCTGGCCTGTTGGGTTCCGTTGCCCTATTCCAAATTTCCCTACTTTCAGCTCACCGTTCTCTCATGTGCCTAGTTGAAGTCTCCCGTTAACACCGTATAGTGGGTTTTGGAGGAATGCATGGCTCTAGAGATATCCTCATACATTTCCTCCACCTTCTCATCGGGGTGTGCCGAGGTTGGTGCGTAAACCTGTATGACCTTCAGCGAATACCGTTTGGTGATTCTGAGTGTAAGGTACGCAACCCTCGCCGACACACTCAATTTTTACAACGTTGTTAACGAGAGACATGTGGACGATAAATCCGACACCTCCTTGGGACAGATGGTCGCCCTCCCGGTGATAAAGCAAGTTACTGGATTCGAGGATTACCGTGTCCTCCCCCTCTCTTCGGACCTCGGATAATCCTATAATATGCCAGCGTAACTTGTCTATCTCTTCTTCCAGCTCCACGATCTTCTCGTTAGTCCTCAGGGTGCGTGCGTTGTACGTTGCCAGGTCGAGTCGTCTTAGGTGGCAACCGAACCTCCACCGGAGATTCTTAGCACCCCCTGCCCCGCCGTTACCATGGTCGCCACCGTAGCCAGGAATAGCGGGGCCGCCGGGGACTGGGGGCCGTCTTTTTGTAACTTTTATCATGGGGGGTATATTGCCATAGTTGCCACGCTTGGCGAGCGGGTTGGCAACCGCAGTTTTTTATTGTAATTTTACTGTTATCAGGAAGATGCTGCTGCCCATCTCCTGCCTGTTTCACTTTGTCGCCTTTTACGACACCCACGGGAAGATATGGGGTAGTGGATATTCTTAACCGACACTACACGGCATTTAGTATAGCATAGTGCGCAAGAATTACAAAACTTAATTCCTCTCTTCCCTTCCACCATCGGGCAACCAGGCGCTACTCTAATCAAACTAAACTATTTGCCTCGGCGTTCGAAAGCTTACAGCAAAGTTATTTTGGGTATGTTCCGATACACAATGCGAGCACTGCTCGGTGAAAATTCCTTCCGTTATGGACTGCCAGTACACTGCCGCAGTACCCTAGGGAAATATATCACGTCATAACATGCCGCCATTTTTGTACTGTAAAGCACTGGCGCTTTCGAGGTAAGGTGCTCTCAGTACTTTGATAACGTGATCAAAACAAACGCACTAACAGCACCTAGAGATTTAACAGCATCCACGAATGATTGTTATTATTATTAATTAATACTGTTATTCAAATAAACTCGGACATTAAGTATTCAAAGCATTAACATTTTCCGGACTTCCGGACAGAAAATTGGTTGACAAAAGAAAAGTGTGATTTACAAGATTTTATGGCCAGGATTAAGATATCAACGCTCTAGTGGCTTGGACACGTAGAAAGAATGAATGATGAAAGAAAGAAACCCTATACGCAAATTTATCAAACAAATTGGCGATAGAAGATGAGCCATGTTAAGAGCATCTAAGCGTAGATATGGATATGAAAGAAGCGAAAAAGATGTGTCAGGATCGTGCCAAATGGAAGTTTGTAATGTCTGCCTACCTCTCTCGGTGACAGGCGTGAGATAAATATGTTATATAAGTGCTTCTAATAATTGCGCTGTTCAAGATACAGTGATTTGAATTCAATCACAATAATATCAATAGAAACAAGTAGAGCAACTCCTCTTACACTGTGGATATATTACATCTATTACTTTACTGTTATCAATCAATAAATAATAAGACATTCTCGTGACTTTGTCTACGTTAATTTTAACTAATAATAATCATTTGTGATACCACTGTGTAAATTAGTATTGGAGTGATTATTTGTGTTCTATTAAAATCACGTGTCCGTGCTTGAGTACTCTTAAAATCTGTTGAAATTGTGGCGTTCAATCTAGGCGGCAAATAGTGCTTGTTTATAGATAAGTTCTCTAATGTAACCAGGTATCAGCTTGCGGAATTTTACTGCTTGCTGTTTGACGGCAGAAATAGGCAAGAAGACAGTACATACCCAGACGGTAGAAACTACTAGTAGTAGTAGTAGTAGTATATACTTTATTGTACACCACACATATACAACGAATAAATACATTACAGAGAAAACTTAATATATACGTATGTACAATAAGGCGGTCTTATCGCTAAAGAGCGATCTCTTCTATATTATGTTACACTTACATACTAATATCTAAATAAACTAAACTATATTTTGTTAAAATACCGCAATAATACATAAAAAATAATAATAAAATAAACATACATATTAATAAATATATATATATATATATATATATATATATATACATAAATATATACACATACATATATATACAAAGATAATAAATATTGCTAGAATTGGTTATCAATAACCACAAAGTGTTAGGTAATGCTTCTTGACGTCACTTTTGAATCTTTCCAAAGTTTGAGCACGTTGAAT